TGGGTGGCTCAGTCGGTTAAGCATCCGACTTCAGCTCAGGTCATGGTCTCGTGGTCCATGAGTTCGAGCCCCACGTCAGGCTCTGTGCCGACAGCTCAGAGCCTGGAGCCTGTTTCAGATTCTGTGTCTCCCTCTCTCTCTGACCCTTCCCCCATTCATGCTGTCTCTCCCTGTCTCAAAAATAAATAAACATTAAAAAAAATTAAACAAAAAAACACAGATAAGGCAAGTGTAGACCTTTATTAGAAACCCTTGTGCTTGGCCATCTACCTGCTGTGACTGCCTGGGGCAGTGTAGGGATTCTGATAGAGGTTAGAAATGGAACTAGAAGCCCTTTGAAAGCCACGAAGAAGGGAACAATACCTTCCAGAATTCCTCCTCTGGAATGGTCTTGTGAAACTAGATGGAGACTCTTTATTAAGCTATCCTGGTTCCTTCTAAGGACAAATCCATGCATTTGAATAGTTGTGCTATCCTATACCATGCAGCTAATAGATTGATTCAATATGGCCACGAGAATATAAACATCATTATTAGAATAACAATCCACGAATAAAATGCATCCTTAATGGGAAGACCATTCATGTCGAGAACTGTAAGCAGCTTTGTTGCGCTTTGCATTTTCTGTACGGCTCCCCTCGTCTGCCTACATACAGCAATCAATCTGGAATCCCACCTACTTAATGGCATGATTTGGCCTTCTGAAAACATAAACTTTATGTTTTAAAGTAGTTTTAGATTTACAGAGAAATTGTAAAGATTGGACAGAGAGGTCCCATATACCCCACACCCACTTCTGTCTCTTATTAACATCTTTTGTTAATATGACACATTTGTTACAATTAATAACCCTATATGGATAGACTATTAATAATTAAAGCCTATACTTTATTAAGGTTTTCTGGATTTTTTTTCTGATGTCTTTTTTTTCTCTTCCAGGATTCAATCCAGGATACCACATTTAGTCATTGTGTCTCCCTAGGCTCTTCTTGGCTGTGACAGTTTCTCAAACTTCCTTGGTTTTTGATGACCTTGGCAGTTTTGAGAATACTTGTCAGTGATTTTGTAGAATGCTCCTCAATTGGAATTTACCTGATGTTTTTTTCTCATGATTAGACTGGGACCGTGGGCTTTGGGGGGGAAGAACACAAAGGCGAAGTGTCATTTTTACCAAGTCGTATCCAGGGCACGTAGCATTGACTTGACTTATCTTGTTGGTGTTGACCTCAATCACCTGGCTGGGAGAGTATTTGTCAGATTTCACCGTAAAGTTATTTTTTCCCCTCTCTCTCCATGTTGTCCTCTCTGGAAGGAAGTCACTATGTAAAGCCCACTCTTAAGGAGTAGGAAGTTATGCCCTACAGCCTTGAGAGTTGGAATATCTACACAATTGATAGGAGATATCTCCAAAGCAGATATTATATTGAATATTTATTTATTCAATCAGTTATTAATATCACTAGGAGCTCATGGATATTGATTTTATTTTTTGGATTATAATCCAATAATACTTTATTTTGTTGCTCAATTTGCTCTAGTTTTAATCAATGGAAACTTTTCCCATTGGATCCTGTGTCCCTTTGACAAACCCTCCTTCATTGTGAAGTTGTTTTTCTTCTTTTCTGGGGGAGCACTTCCTTAGTTTCTGGCACTACAACATGTCTCAGGTTCATCTTGTATATTTTCTGCTCCAGTCCTAGAATCAGCCATTTCTCCGAGGATCACTGGATCCTTATATTGGAGTACAGTTTAAGAAACCAAGATCTAGGTGCTAGATATGCTCAGTTTGACTGGTTTTCATCCATCCGCCCTTTTCCTAAACGTACGCTTTTTTCCCAGTGCCAACTTTGGACAAGACTGGATCAGATGAGACAAATGAAATACAAATAATTCTATTAACCCATGGTCCAAGAGAGGTGCTGCCTAAGGGGTATGAATAGAGCTCCATGGTAACTTGAAGGTGGAAGGAGACTTCCAACTGGAGATATGTATCACAAACGTCTTTGTTCTTGATTCTAGACTTTATCTCCTGTCTTGTAGGTCCATATCTTAGTAGCTCTGTTCATATCTACCCTTCTGTATGAGGGTCTTTAATATTAGCCTGACCTGAGTTTGAATTCTGGCTCTGCCACTTATTAGCTGTATGACCTGGAGTGAGTGTCTCAACTGCACTGAACCTCAACCTCAGTTTCTTCATCTGCAAATTGGGGATGGTGATGCTAACAGGAAGAGGCCTTTGGGAAGACTAAGGAGAAAACATGCGGCACAGTCAGGCCTAGAAAATGCTGGCAAACAAAATAGTAATGACAGCTAGTGTCTTCCTAGGGTAACATTGCCTTGGAATAGCAGCTGGTTCCTAGGCCAGAGGCGCAGAAGAGGCTGTATTTAATGTAACTTGTAAAGGGTAGAACCAAAGAAGTAACTGTGGAACGGCCTGGCTCTGGGGGTAATAGTCAGGCATGTCCTGCCGATGACATTGCTTTTGCGAAGTACACCATAAACAATCAGGGTCTTGGGGCCACCTGGTATTTGGTAGCCCAGCACAAGCTCTAGCATGAGGAGGCATCTGCTGCTGCAAAAACAAAAACAAAAACAAACCAAAAAAAAAAAAAACAAAAAACCCAACATGAGTCATGCTCATCAAAATGCATTAGCACAGCCTCTGACAACAACATCTGCCTGATGTTCCAGAAGGGATCCTCATGCTAGGCTTCCCCACTATAGAGCTGCTCCCTTAGACAGTGACAATGCACCTAACAAATGGTTTTCTGTTCTGTTCTCCTATAGGAATTAAACTAAACCCCTTCAGAGAGGCTTGAGATCTTTTAAAAGCAGAGGAAACGTAGATGTCATGAAATTTCCCATGGGTTAGGTGCATCTCAGAAGTCCTAAAACAGAGCCTAATGTGAAGGTTGTAGTTGTCCCGTTTGGCAGGGTTTTTTCTGATGCCCAAGGTGGGTGTGGCCGTCCCATTTGACAGTTTTCTTCCACGTGAGAAGCAGTGATGCTCAAGGTGTGGTCCCTGGACCAACAGCAGCAGCAACAGCATCCAGAAACTTGTTAGAAACACAAAGTCTTGGGTCCCATCCCAGATCTACTGAATCGGAAACTCTGGAGGTGAGCCCTGACTCCCTCCTTTGCCCATTACAATCTATGTTTTAACAAGCTCTCCAAGTGATTCAGATGTCAACTAAAGTTTAAGAACTATTGATGAAAAGGAGGCGGAACTTTTCAAAACTTTCCACTTTCAACCTACAGGTATTCTGAACTCCAAGCAACTTAAGAGACTGAGTGTCTCTGTGTATGGCATTAATTAGGTGCAGATTGAATATTTATTGGATGAACGAGCTATAAACTACCGACATTGACAGGACCAAGTGCTGGCCAGAACGTGGAGCGATAGAAACTCTCATTTATTGCTGGTTGCAATGCAAAATGGTACGGCAATTTTGGAAGTCAGTTTGACAGTTTCTTATAAAACTAATATACTCTTAGCATACAACCCAGCAATTGTGCTCCTTGGCGTTTCCCCAAAGAAGTTGAAAACTTATGTTCATATAATAACCTGCACACGGGTGTTTATAGCAGCTTTATTCATAATTGCCAAAAAGTAGAAGCAAGCAAGATATCCTTCAGTAGTTGAATGGATAAGCAAACTGTGGTGCATATAGACAGTAGAATATATTCAGTGATAAAAAGAAATGAGCTATTAAGCCATGAAAAGACAGAAAAAACTTAAATGCATATTGCTAAGTCAAGAAAGTCAATCTGAGAAGGCTACATACTGACTCCAACTGTGTGACATTCTGGAAAAGGCAAAACTATGGAGACAGTAAAATGGTTGTCAAGGGTTTGGGGGAGGGGAGAGGAATCAGATGGAACACAGGGGATTTTTAGGGCAGTTAAACTATTCTGTATGATACTGGGGCGCCTGGGTGGCGCAGTCGGTTAAGCGTCTGACTTCAGCCAGGTCACGATCTCACGGTCCGTGAGTTCGAGCCCCGCGTCAGGCTCTGGGCTGATGGCTCAGAGCCTGGAGCCTGTTTCCAATTCTGTGTCTCCCTCTCTCTCTGCCCCTCCCCCGTTCATGCTCTGTCTCTCTCTGTCTCAAAAATAAATAAACGTTGAAAAAAAAATTAAAAAAAAAAACTATTCTGTATGATACTATAATGGTGGATATATGTCATTATACATTTGTTCAAACCCATAGAATGTACTACACAAAGAATGAATCCTAATGTAAACTATGGACTTCAGTTAATAATAATGTGTAAATATTGGCTCATCAATCATAACAAATGTACCACCCCGATGCGAGATGCTACCACTCAGCCTTATTAACCCACACATTGGGGTCAGCCCACTAGGTACATATGTAAACTGATTTAAAAGTGTCTTGTTTCCTTGGAAGTGTAAGCTCTTCTGTCCCTTCTTGAAAGAAGAGGGGTCTTCTTTCCAAGAAGAAAGAGGAAGAAGAGGGGTCTTTCTGGCTCCTACATGCAGTGGTGCAAAGACCTCTGGATGGAATTGTTACTGTCCCTTTTGTGAAATTCCAGATCCTTGGGGAATGACTTGGGAAATTGGTGGATGCATTTTGATAGTTGGATTGTTTTGGCAGATGAAAGTCTTGGATACTGCTCCTCGTGGAGTGACTCAGCTGTCCTGAAGAAGTTTGGTGTTTCCCTTAAGACGATGAGGAGAAGCTTGTCTGTGACACAACCACACTTCACATGGGTAGAAACCTTCCAAGAATATTAACCATGTGGCTCTTCTAATCTTTTTTCCCCCTGTTTAACAGATATCGATTGAATGTCAGAAGCGTGGCTGCCTAGCTCTGATCCCCAACATCTATGATAATCGAGATATTCATTCTTCAGTTCCTTAGGTTTTCCAATGAGGAGATGGCTCGGTGAGATTCTGACTGTACCTGCTATGTTACAAAGATCTATTCACAGTAGGACAGGCACACGGGGGGCGCTGACAGAGGAACATGGGCACAGGCAGTGGTGCCTCCCCCAGGTGCATGTATTCATGCCACCTTCTACAAGTGTACCGCAATGCCCATTCCCATCTCACAGAGCTTGAGGAAATTTACAGCCAGGCTGACGGTCCGCCCGATGTGCGCTCCAGGTAAAGCTGGTTAATGACGACCTAGAGCAGGTGCATGACTCAAAGCTTTCAAAGCTTTACTTCTTTTATCAGCAGTCCTGATTTTAAAAACAACAAAGCCCGTCAACCCCATTCCTACCCACATCTCCTCGCAAACTTGGCCTCATGGGAATCCAACCATTTTAAACAAGACTTTGAAGCATCTCGACACAAGACCGCTAGCTCAGGTCGCCCGGACCTGCCTGGCCAACGACTCGGAAAGCTGGCTCTTCTGATCTTAAAGAATGCATACTGCCTTAGCAGTTTTGGCAAAGAGGTTCGCTAGAGAAACAGTGGAAAGTGCGGCATCGTTTTATTTATTTATTTATTTATTTATTTATTTATTTATTTTTAGGATTGAAATGGATCCAGCCCAAATTCTATATATTTAGCCCGAGTTCATCCTATGGCAGTTCTGGCTAATGAGATGAACGTAGATGTGGTGAGGTGGGGCTTCCAGGAACGCTCTTTAAAAGGTGGAGTGAGGGGGGTGCCTGGGTGGCGCAGTCGGTTAAGCGTCCGACTTCAGCCAGGTCACGATCTCGCGGTCCGTGAGTTCGAGCCCTGCGTCAGGCTCTGGGCTGATGGCTCGGAGCCTGGAGCCTGTTTCCGATTTTGTGTCTCCCTCTCTCTCTGCCCCTCCCCTGTTCATGCTCTGTCTCTCTCTGTCCCAAAAATAAATAAAAGTTGAAAAAAAAAATTAAAAAAAAAAAAAAGGTGGAGTGAGGGGCATAAATTAGCATGTACCTTGGTCCTCTGTCCTTCCCTGTTTTCTGCTTGGAATGCCGATACAGTGCTGGAGGTAGCGTTGACATCTTGTAGCCACGAGGTAACAACGAACCAAGGATAGGGAAGCAGAAAGACAGAAGAAACCGCAGTTCTAGACGGTGGGGTGCAGTTATCTACCAGTCGTGAACTTCTTACCACTGGATTTTTCACACTAGAAAAAAAAAACCCACTTAATTTGTTTAAGTTGATATTTTGGGAGTTTCTGTTACTTGCAGTCAAATGAGACATCTAACTGAATCACGGATAGTTTCAGTCTCTCCCAGTGGTAGAGGTTTGGCAGCCCTAGTGATATTTTCTGCTCAGTGACCTTGGATATACTGCCTTACAAACTTTGGACACAACGATAGTTCCTACCGATGTATTGTTTTAAGGATTACTTGAAATCATACATTTTAGCACAGTGCCTGGTACGTATTAAGAACCGAAAACATGGTGGTACAAAACTAGATCGCCTCTCCCTACAGACACAGGGCTCATGGTCACGTGCAGGAACTTTTGAAAACAGAGTGGGATATGGCAATGTTGTGCCTTGGACGCTTCGAATATTATATTATACTCGTGGATTTCACTGTCACATCAAAGTCAAGGTCACTTCTGGCACCTAGGTGGCTCAGTCGGTTAAGCATCTGACTTCGGCTTGTGAGTTTGGAGCCTGCTTCGGATTCTCTCTCTGCCCCTCCCCCACTCTCTTCCAACTCTCTCTCTCAAATATAAAGAAACATTAAAAAAAAAAAAGTCATGGCCACCTGATACCAACTGAATCTGCCCAGGCCTAACCATAGACCATTATTCAGTGCCTTGGCCCCCTTGTAGGGGATGATGCCCACAGGTCACTCTAGGGAAACTACCCCCACCCAACATACAGCCCCTCACAGAGCCGGACAGTTATATGGACAGAATAGGCTATGATTCGTGCCCTGGAGGCCATCCCCTTGGACTCTGGCGATTGCACCAGAAGTAGACAAACAACCTGAAAGGACTCATTCCGTAGGCTGGCCAGAGGCCTAGCAAGGGTCCTAGTGGGAAAACTCTTCCCAGGAGGGGCAGTGGCTGGAGAAACACACCAGCCTGCTGGCTGGTCACCCCCCCATAAGGGACCTCAGCACCGCCTGGCAAGCTGATTCTGTGTCGCAGATCCCTACAGTCTCCCACCCTTGGAGATGACCGTTCTGAATGTTCTTATCTCTCCTCAGAACTTCCTCCCCTTCTTGTTATCATCTGCAGATAGTGCTTCTGATTTGAGTGGGGGAAAAAAAAAAAGGACTGTATCATTCTCCCGGAACTGAATCTGTATCCTTTGCTCTGTCTTCCTTCCTGTTACCAGGGGCGAACCGCACCTGCTCCTGGCAGAGGCCCGCCCTCAGCTGGGTACTGGGGACCCTGCCCTCTTGCCAGTCTGGAACATCGCTCGAGAACACCACTTCTCCTTCTCACCTGTGTCATAACTTCCCACTGTCCCTCTCTTCTGGATCATTCTCTGTGCAGGCATGCTTGGATCGCCTCATTTTTAGAACAGCAGCAGCAACAACAACCCCCTTCCTTGAGCCTGAGTCCGAGTCCCCTCCACCTACCACTTCGCTTCTGTGCTTCTCCTTCTTCCCTGTCCACATGGTTCCCACCCCCTTGCCTCCTGTCCATCTTGAATTCACTCCAGTCAGGCTTCTGTCCCCACCATTCCATGGAAACTGCTCTTATCACCTGATGACCTCTTTGTTGCCAAATCCAATGGCCAATTCCCAGTTCTCAGCTTATCCAAACGGTTAACAGCATCTTACACAAATGATCACTCCCTTTTTGGAAAACTGTCTTTACTTGGTCGCTTCATTGTGGGAAATAGACAGTAACAAATGCTTTTTAAATATGACTTGAGCTCGGTTTTGGCAAGGGCTTTGTTTCATTGACAGCTGTATCCCCAGCACTTAGGACGGTGCCTGTCACATATGAGGTGCACAGTATGTATTTGTTGAGTGGCTAGATTAAGATCAGGGGGCCAGCAAAGTAACAGCTCACAGGACAATTCCAGCCCACTGCCTGTCTTTTGTAAATAACGTTTTATTGGAACGCAGCCATTTTCATGCATTTACAAATTGTCTAAGGCTGCTTTTATGCTATGACAGCAGAGTTGAGTAATCGTGACAGAGATCGTATGGCTGGCAAAGCCAAAAGTATTTACTACCTGGTATAGAAAAAGCTTTCTGACCCCTGATTTAGACAATTATTTTGACTTCTACTATGTGCTGTGTGTTTAAGACCCTGACCACAAATGATCAAAGAGAGAAAGTCCATAGAGAGAGAACATAGCAGCGTTTCTTGCCCGTAAGTATTATCAGGGTTTGCCTGTGGTCGAGGCTGAGGATTCTCCGTGGTAAATAATGAAGTGGTGGTGGCTGGCGGTGGGGGGCGGGGGGGGGGGAATGGAGGAGCTGAAAGTCAAGGAAAAAAGAAAATTAACCATTATTAATAAGGAAAACATTTCCTGAGCAATTATTTTACACCATGCACTTTGAATATTTTATTTCACTAACTCATAGAATCCCGTGAGGCAGGCACTGCTGTCTCCTTTTTACAGATGGGGAAACTGATGCACATACAAGTTCAGGATCTTGCTGAAGGTCACACAGAACTATGAAGTATCAGAAGGGGGTTGTTGATACCAGGAGCTGGGATAGACCCCGGCCCATGTAGTAGCAATGATAACTGCAAACACATACTTATGACATTCAGGCCCTGTTCTCAGTCTATCCCATCAACTGGGGAAACTAAGGCAGGAGAAGACTGACTAGCCCAAGGCCCCATCACCCTGGTGAAGGGCAGGGCTGGACTTGACCTGGTAGTCTGGCTCTAGTCTCTGAATCTCACCACTTTACCATAATGCATAGTTGGCCCTCAATGAATAGTTACTGAGCTAATGGATTTGCCCTGGATCTCCTGAATCCCAGCCTGGTTCCTTTGCCGCTGTCCTACAGCATCCCCACTTTTGAGGGCTGTGCAGCAATCTGCTTAGGGTAGGGCTGGCAAAGAGGCAGAACCATGGCCATCTACCTCATTTCCGCAGAAATTACTAGAATGTCTCAGGATTTACTCATCCTCTGTCTACATTTTTATCTCTCTTGGGACACTGCCCACTCCCTGGGGAAACGATGTTAATAACTGATGATAACATCTGTCTTCAGACTTGTGAATCATTTGCAGAAATGCTTGTCAAGAGAGCACTGAACCTTCCAGTTTCAAGGAGTTTTTTGTTTTTGTTTTTGTTTTCATTTTTTTTTTTCACAAAAGTCATTGACATAGATTTCTCACTTAAACCTGCCTAAAGGTTTGAATTGCGCAGCAAAACATGTTCCCCAACTAACTGGTGGGTGAAGCATGCCTCTCCAATGGGAGGTGAAGTTTTTTCCCCATTTGGAAGTTACTTACCCTGAAAAATAGGATTGGATGTATTTCTCTCAAAATCAGATGAAACCATTATTCGTTTTATGCACACTTGACCATCTCTCAAGGCTAGGACAGGGCATTCTCTGTCCTTGAAGGCACGTTTTAAAATTTTCTGGTCGCAGGGAAAGAAAAAAGTGGCATCTTATTCTCTGTCTTCATCATGTCAGGCTCCCACAACCAGGTACTACAGTTTGGGTGACTTAAATGACAACAAAAATTATTTCTCAGTTCTGGAGCCTGGGAATTCCAAGAGTCAGGTGCTGGCTGATTCTGTTTCTGGTGAGAACTCTCTTCCTGGCTTGTGGACGGCTGCCTTCTTGCTCGACCTTCACGTGGCTTTTCAAGTTCAAATTCCTTGGTGCCCTTGGAGAAAGAGACCTCTCCTCCTCTTCTTAGAAGACCACTGATCCTTATCATAATAGGATCCCACCCTTATGACTTAATTTATTTTGCCTCCTAAAAGCCCTGTCTCCAAATATACTTACACTGGAGGGGTAGGGCTTCCACATATAAATTGGGGGATGGGCAAAATCCAGTCCATGGTACTGTCTCCCCATCCCTGAGCACTGTGCTATGTGAGCTGACACCATGAAAGTTTGCCAGCGGACTTTGTGAATACTGTTTAATCTGGGTTTTAGCCCAGGTTGAACACGCTTCCACACGGGAATACCTTGAACTGCGTCCTTTAGCATCAAGTCTTTGCACACACGGGGAAGTGTTCATTGTGTGTGTTGTGCAACCGTTAGTCATTTTTCTGACGCTATACTAAGCAGTTTGTATCTCTAAGCATTTTATCTTTTAATCTGCTCAACACATTGTGATGGATGAGGCAGTCCTATTATTACTCCCATTCTACAGAGGAGAGAACTCGGGGTAGAGAAGTTGAGTAATTTGTCCAAAGCATACTGGACTAGGAAATGACTCGGCCTGGATTTGAACC